CTGCATGACAGCAGGCGGTGCCCGCGGCTGGGAATTAACAGGCTTTAGGCGAAAAGGGGCGGTCTCTGGTTCTTTTGCCTTAATCTGGCAAGATTAAGTTTAATCTTCCTGTCATTTCCAGGGTCCATAACGCGCGCGGTGTGCCTCGGGCTGTTTTCGGGCAGATTGGCGACCTGAGCAGGGTTTTCCCTCTCTCTCGTGAGCACCAGCGCCAGAGGACACAGCAGGATTGTCTGCTTTTAGCTAGATTGCTCGATTTTACCAGGCGGGTTGTCTCAAGCCAGCGTTCAAAGTTCACCTTTGTGCCAAAGATTTTCAACGCTTTAAGTGTAACAGTAGTTTTACAGTAATCCTGGTTGTTAACAGTAGTGGTATTGTTTCGCAGGGAACTAGTTTGTTTTTCTGCAGGAAAGCGTATCAGCTTCTCCCTGTTGATTTTGCTGTTAATGTGAGAAGCATGTTGCTCTTTTATCACATGCTCTTTCATAGAGGTTGAAACATGTTGCTGTATCTTTGGATTGTTATCTTAAATAGACACGTGGGTGTTTAAGATATCAAAAACAAATAGTGAACTATCATGGAGAAGTTTTATGAAATTTAAAGTGTTACATTTCCAAACAGGCTTTTTGCAAAGTTGGATTTAAACACTGTCCTGCGTATCCTAGCATGGGCACGTCCTGGGCTGCCTTATGAAGAGTGTAGCTAGTGGAAGCGCTCCTTTCTCGCTGTTTCACACTTGTAAGACTATGTCTGAAGTAGTGTGTCTAGTTTGGGGCTCACCAGTACAAGGAAGATGTTGACATACTGGTGTGATTCCAGTGTAGGCCACCAGACTAGTGAAGGAGATGGAGCACATGACGTAGGAGGGCAGGCTGATGGGACAGGATGGGTTCAGCCTCACAAAGAGAAGGCTGAGGGGACATACTACAGCAGTCCATGACTCTGTGATTGGAGGACTTGGAGAAGTTGGACCCAGGTTCTTCTTGAAGGGGAATAGTTGTAGGGCAAGAGGGAACAGGCATAAGTAGGAACATGGAAAATTCCAGTTATTTATTAGGAAAAAGGATTTTTACCATGAGAGTGGTCCAATACTGGAAGAGATTACCCAGAGAGACTGTAATCTTTTCAGCCTTGCAAACATTCAGGAACCAACTGGACATGTCCCTGAGTAACCTGATCTAATTAGGTCTGTTTTGAGCAGGGGGTTGGATTAGATGACCTCTGGAGGTGAATGCCAGCCTAAATTACTCCATGATTCTATATGATGGTTTCAGTTTCGTTCCCACTTCCTGTCTGTCAGGTTTTGATTAGACTCACCAACGCTTATGGCTTTTTTACAAAAGTTTGTTCTGACTCATTGAGATCTGATGTCCATCTTTCAACAGAATACCTTGTGGGTTGGTTCTTGATACCTAGAGAATACACCTTTTGGTATGGGAGAGAATAACGTGCTGATATGCTTTGAGTTTAGATGTCATTTAGGAATGCAGACTCCTCCTCCCTGCTGCATATGAGTGCAATTAACAGTCCTTTCTTTCCGTTGTTGGAGGCTGCACTGTTATGTCTTTGAACTATACCCAAGTTATTTGCAGGTACTCCAATGTTAAACTCACTCTGCCTTACCTCCACGTAGCTTTTTAGTCAGGCTTTACAGAGAGAAAGAAGGATAATTTCACATGCTGCTTAGGTTTAAAATAATGATTCCTTTGTTTTGTCTTCAACCAGGAAATAAGGACTGAAATCAGAAGTCGATGTTGTGAAGATTCTCAGCAGCATCCTTGGCAGACAGACTTGCATTTGTGTCTCTGATTTCCCACCTTGTTGACTATGTTTTTAAACCTGATTTAATGACAGCGTGGCAAAAAAATCAGAAAGGTCTTTGGGAAAGGTCTAGGAGTACTCATTCAGGAGGGAGAAAAGAGGCATTTAATTTATGATGGAGTTTTGAGTGACTCTCAAGAGTATCGAGGCCTTGTCACAATGTGCTCAGAAAAAGCATTTTGTCTTTAGTCCTGAAGTCACAACATACAGTACTGTACAAAAAGTTCAAAGAAGAATGAATAATAAATGTGTCGCTGAACAGAAAACATTTGAAGTTCATGATTACCAGGATTAGTCTTGATGGGGACACAAAAACTATGCTGATTGTAAAACTTTGAGATTAATACTCAGTAAAATTGCAACATAGCCTTATGTCTATATTAAGAATGAAAGATGCTGCTGTGTTGGCATCATAGAGTAATTTAAGTCAGAAGACATATGTGGAGTTCACTCCCTACTCTGGTAAGGTCTGCTTAGATCAGATTGCTCAGGGTCTTGTCTGCTAGAGTTCTAGGTAGCTCCAAAGATGCCTCTTCAGGCAACTTTTTCCAGTATTTGACGACTCTGATGAGAAAAAGTTCTGGTCAAAATTCTCTCTGTTCCAGCTTTTGTCTGTTACCTCTTGTCATCTCACCATGCGCTGTATCACACAGGTCATCAACAACCAACTTACTCTCTTGTTGTTACGGCAGAAGCAATAGTAGTTACCACTGGAAGTTGCCTGAATATCTGTTCTAAATGAAACCTGTCAAACAAAAACTTGCATGGTTTTGATCTTTTTGACAGTGATATTTTCTGAATATTAGGACAACCAGCTGTTTGGTTATTGGGTGGTAGAAGTGTAGGCATTTGGTGATTTCCTGTAAATCCATTCAATGAGAACAGAAGGAAAACAGGAATTTTTGTTGGCAATAACCTTTGAGTGTTCCATTAAAAACTGACTTTGTAATCAATAAGACGTGAGCCATTCAGAATATTCAGATCTTTACAGAACATTTTAAAGAGGAAGATTGAATTCAAGAGTTGCTATTTGTCAAGCAATAAACTCCTTATGGAGATGTGTTGTCAAAGACTGCACGTGTATCACTTGAAATATGATGTAAAATTGCTGGAGCGCTAAAAAAAAAGAGACAAAAGACTTCAAAGCTTCCACTCACCAAAAATGCACAGCAGTGCAGTTAGTTAGCCTTGTCAGATTGATGGGAACTTTTCTCTTGCAGAGCTTAGAATTTATTTTCCTTTTTTTTTTTTTCCCTTGAAGTTTTTTAACTATAGACTTACAAACCTGTAAACCCCAATTCTTGCATACTTTTAAAATATAGTTGATCAGTTAGGTTTTCCTGTTGATTTGCAGCTTGCTTTGGAGGCTATGTACTTCTGTGGTGGCTTTTACCCAGCTGAACTTCATGTTCCTTAAATGTTTTTCAATATAATTTCTTTCTTTCGTAGTAAGCGATGGATTGGAGCTGAGGCCAAAGTACAACGGAATTCTCCACTGTATGACCACTGTCTGGAAGCATGAAGGACTGCGGGGCTTATATCAAGGGGTAACTCCAAACATGCTAGGAGCGGGGGCTTCCTGGGGACTTTACTTTTTCTTGTAAGTAGAACTGTAAAATGTGTCATATCCTCTGCAATGTAACGTTCAGATACACACTGCATCTTCTTTAGGGGGGGTGTAAAAATGTGCTAAGTGGCTGATAAAGTTGTGGTTCTTTTCATAAGTCCAGGTCTGTTACCCTCTATTATGATTTGCTGTTTTAGAATTTAAGCAATTTGAGTCAGAGACTTGTTATTTTGTCAAGTACAGTGCATTCCCTTGATGCTGTGAAAATACTAAGGAACTTCAGAGATGGTGACATCATTCATGAAGAATCCTCTAAAAATGCCAATACACTGTGCTTAAAACCTCACAAAAAGTAAAAACCTAAATTGACATATTAAGAATTAAAGAACATGATAAAGTGGTCTGCTAATGCTAAATCATCAACTTATTTTTAATAATTTTAGTGGCAGTCAGTTCTTTCTTCGTTTTTGTGAGTTGATGGGCTTTGCTAATAAAGCCCATTTTTTAATACTCAATCTTTTCTATTTTATCAGCTGAGTAACTGTAACCTGATTTGCAGGTGATCCCTCTTAACTTAACACTTTAGGGAACAGTTAGTTAGTATGCCTATGCAAACCTTGCTTGTCAGTTGTCTGGACTCTGTTATAGTTGGGCTTCAGTCCTCAAGCTTACCCATAGGTTTCTGTTGATGATTCAGCTCCTGTTGTCAGTTTGTCAGTCCACAAAGACTGGAAACTGGATCAAGGGAAGAAAGCTCAGTGTATTTCTGAGCTGGAAGATAGATACCTGTCACTGTTGCTCTCAATAAAAAGGCAATCTGATCGTTTTCTTTTAGACGTTAATTCTTGAGATCAGATAGCTGTTTCAAGATTCAGTCCCATTTATACTGACAGTAATACTTCACCAATTTAAATATGTGTTACCATAGTTGACTTGAAAGAGCTAACTGCTCAGAGATCAATTGATCAATTAATCAGTTAAACAAAGATAGTTTGCTTAAATAGCTGTTTTCAAAGGTCGTGTACCACCTAATGTTTTCTGTGATCTTAAGTGACTTCTTTTGGGCTTTTTTTTAGTGATGTAGGTTTGTTTTCACCATTACCAAAATATATTTTGTTTTCCAGTTACAATGCCATCAAAGCTTACAAGAAGGAAGGGAAGCTGGAAAGTCTCAGTGCAACCGAACACCTAGTGTCAGCTGCAGAGGCTGGTGAGTTTAAATGCAAAGACGACTGACGTTTGCTTCTCGCCTTTCCATATGCTTCTCCCTGCCTTTGTGTGTCAGGGCTGTTTTTTCTGACAGGTGGCAAGTGTCAGTGTTCGAGTCCAAACGTGGTCGTTTATTGTCTGTAAATAAATTAATTATGTCTAAGATGAATAGTTGGGTTCTTTCAGTTTTGCTCAGAAGTAGCAGTTGTCAAAATACTTTCTGACGTTGTTTTCATTATGTAGAAGTGTTTTCCATATGTAGTACTACATTGAGTCCCAAAATATAACTATAAATCCACTGCTATCAGCTTGTTAACTCATTAAATGTTTAATTCTTAGACCTGGAAAAGAGAAGGCCTGAAGTTAATAGAAAAGTGAATTGATCATTGGTCTTTGAAAATCTTTATCTATGATCCAAATTTTCTTAGAAACTAAAGATCCAAAATAAATATGCAGCTTCTATCAGCGAAACTTTTAATGCATTTTTTCTAACGTATGTTCTTGTACATGCTTCTGTGTTGTATTTAATCTGGGCAATTGAGAAGGCTTTATTTGGATCATTCATTTAATGTTGAAATAGAAGGCATACTGCTTGATGTGGAAAATAGTAATGGGGTTTTTTACAACTGTATTTTCAATAACCTATAAAGCTACAACAGGTTGTTTCTATTAACCTGTCAAGATGATTAAGCAGATTTTTCATGACTGAGGTGTCCATTAGGTTTTGAACACTTGCATACCTGATGAATAACTGGGATAAACAGGAATACATTAGGAAATTACTTATGTTTCCTATCGGCTACTGACTGTGGAAAGGTGAGGCAAGAAAGGAGATATACTAAGAATATGCAAGAAGTCGTATGCTCTACAGAAGTACTCCCAGCAGGAGTAGGTTGGACTTGGCTGTGAGCTTTAAAGGCAGAGAGAGGGAACAATGGTGGGCATAAGCTTCACCTGTTTTAAGTAACATTAGCACTCTTTTAGGATAAGTAGTTTTGTCATTGTAGAAGCCTGCATTACACTGGACTGAACAAACAGGGATAGGCTTTGGAGTTGGCAAAACAGTCTAATTTCCATCTGTTCTCAGGAGCCATGACCCTCTGTATTACAAACCCAATATGGGTAACGAAGACACGCCTCGTGCTGCAGTATAACGCTGGTGTTGATCCATCAAAGCGGCAATACAAAGGAATGTTTGATGCTCTCATAAAGATATACAAGACAGAGGGCGTACGCGGCTTATATAAGGTAATAAAACTTAAGAAAAATTCCAAGGTTGGCTAGCACTGCTCAGTAGCACGGTGAGACTTGTAAATACTTGCCTACAAAAAAAATGCAAGTCGTTTTTTGTATTAGCTCACTGACTTTTATTCTGTGAGTCTTTTTTCCACTGAAGAACTGCAGCGAAAAGGCTTAATCAGAAGAAAAGCTATTGTACTTTTGAAGTGTAGGAAATCACTGAAGAATAGAGTGTAAGCTTTATGGCTGATCCATCTTCTATTGGGTGATAATGCTGAAAGGAGAGTAAACTACAAGCTGCTATTTAATTTTTTGGAGTCTTCCTATAATTAGAATTTGGGTGAGGAGGGCAGCAATAGCGTCATCTATCTTGCTGCTGGTGCTTTTTTCCGTTTCATCCCTTATCTCTGTCTTTCTGACATCTTGCGGAACATAACATATGACTAAAGTAGTTGCTAATTTTTATTTCCACAATGGACGGTTTCACAACTGCTCATTTGCCCTCTAGATATTGAGGCGTGTAATCTGTCATCTCTAGGTCCATGAAATGTGCAGACTTCTAAATATGGTCTGCATATGTGTGGGTTTTTTATTCCCTTTAATTTAGGGAAACAGATGGAACTGGATTTGGACTTCTTGCTTCCTCCTTCCTTCAGGCCATGACATCAAGATGCATTCATCAATGCCTGGAAGGTGTGAAGAAACCTATTTTAGTTCAGTCTGTCTCTTCTCTTGCAAGTAATGCTATAGAACAAGAACGCTATCTCTTAGGAATTGTACTGATTACTGAACATTAACTTATTTGTAGTGAAAAATATAATCCTTCCTACGCTGAAAGAGTAGTATGCCACATACTGATGAATGCTGAATTCTGGCACCAGGAACAAGGCACTTTACTTATTCCTAAATTGAAATTGTTAGGATTTCTGAAATGCCTGCCTGGATGTCCGCTCTGTTCCATGTAGATAAGTTCTAATTTCTTGCATCTGTTAGGGTTTAAGATGTCCTTCCATTGAGTTATTTTTCAGATTATTCGTGCATGTAGCAGGTGTTGCCTTTGGCACTAGACAATTCTTTGTAATGTTAATCTGCAAGTGGGGAACTAAACCAGATACTTCCTTTGAAAGAGCAAATTACTTGCTTAAATCTGCAAAGAAGGTGACCTAGATAGGTCCTGAGTGACCTACATAATTGTGCACACTGAGCAATTTTCATTTGATGTCAGGATTTTCTCAACTTTCTCTGTACCAAGGAAAAAGGCTTCTCTTCGGCTCATCCATACTTTAGGCTTCCTCCATTTTCTGTTTTTGAAAGAGTTTTCTTTTTTTTTCTTTCTTGCTTTATTTGAAATTTGACTGCTGAAGTTAGTTGCCCTGAGTTGCAGGAGCTATAGTGCACATGAATGTCTCTTTTTTCCTCATAATCTTAATTTCAGATAGAGTTCCTTTTAGCAAATAAGGGGATCTCGGAGAATACCACCACAAGTTGGAAATAAAATCTGGAAGTAGTTGCTTTCTGATTAATTTGAGATTAGTCTTCTAAAGAACGGTATTTCTGTCCAAGCAATTCCATATCTTGCTCTGTTGCACACGATGCTGCTACTGGCCTGAGCAATTCCTCTCAGTCCTTTGGGGCACAAGCCTAGTAATGTCAGGATGCATTGATCTTTCTAGCAGGGATCAAAGCTGTCTTTATTAGCTCTGCTGAGTATCGTTCGTTCATTAAACTGTAGTTCATCTGAAGATGGGTTCCTATCCTGGTTTCAGCTGGGACAGAGTTATTTTTTCTTTTTATCAGCTAGAAGAGCTCTGTGTTTTGGTTTTAGTCTGGGATTTGTTATGAGAAGATTGTTGATAGTGCATTGATGTTTATAGTTGACACTGAGACCTCAAGGACTTTTCAGCACACTTTTCTTGCAGGTGTGTGGGTGCACAGCAGGCTGGTGGGTAGCATGGCTGGGACAGAGGGTCAACAAATCCTCTCAGGATTTGAATTTAGAATTAGGATTGAGGGCTAAATTGGCCAATGAAGTATTCCATGTCGTGCAACATCATGCCCAGAATATAGCTGAGGGTTGACCGGAAAGAAGGGCCTGTACTCTTCCCGGACTCTCACTCTTGGACTCTCAGAGTGTGCTCTCTCTCTCTTTCTCACACTGTCTTTTGGGGCCTCTCGCTTGTCTGGGATTGCGGTATCAGGACTTAACCTGTTTCGGAATCATTAACCAGGACGGGACAGGCATTGGTCACTGGGTGGTGAGCAATTATACTGTACATCGCTTATTTGTATATATTATTATCTTTATACATATATATTCATATATTACTATTATTATTAGATTTTTCTTGTCTCAACCCATAGGTCTCCTTCCTTTTTCCCCTTTAATTCTCTTCCCCCATCCCCTGGGAGTAGGGGAGGGTGACCAAGCAGCTGTGTTTAGTTGCCGGCCATGCTAAACCACGACAGTTCGTCAATAACTGATTTTTCTTGAACTTGGCCTGGTTTTGAAAAGACAGAAGCTTTTCCTTCACTGATCATCCCAATAATCATCTAGTCAGTGATCTTCCCCACCCTCGATCCATTAGGCTTTATCCTTTGGCCTCCGTCCCCCAGATGATTTGGAACAGAGTTGCTCTGCTGCACACCAGGCTGAGAAAAAAAAAAAAAACAGCTTAAGGTTATGTAATTTGAACACACCTATATATCTGTTGGAGATCTGAGCCCTAAAAATTACTTTGCCATGAAGTTGAATTTCATGCAATCACCTCCATGTTCAGAGTACTGAATGGTTCTTTTCAAGTGTAAGGCAGAAGAGACCAAATATTGTAAAATAATCATAACATTGTAGGAGTTGGCACTTCCAGAACAACATAAAATATCTCTGAGCTCTTGGGAAACTGTTAGATGTCTAGTTTAGAGTGACTCACTACTATAACATCAATCAAGAATGCAACTAACATTCTGCCTGGCCTCCATGTTCCTGTATTTTTATTTTCAGTTTTCTGTATTGCTGTTTTCATTTCATTTCAGTGATGATGTAGAGGCAGCAATTAGAAATAAGGCAATGCTTAATAGACAGCAGTAATATAAACAAGGAGTGCAGAAAATTTAAAGAGATTAAAGGAAGACATAGCGTCATCAAGACAGAGAATAATAATGATGCAATATGCTAACAACAACAACAAAAATCCTAGCAGTAATGTGTGCTTGTTACCAAGTGAAATAGATATATTGGACACTTCTGTATTGTCATTTCACTTTTGGTAGGCAAGATTCTATACTTTGAGGATAAAGTATTTTTTGCAGTCCATTAATGCCTAAGGCACTTAGCTCTCTTTATTTTATTATGCTTTTCCTTATGCTATTTTCCTTCTTCTTGCAAACGAGCAGTTTGTAAGCTAAGTGACTTTCTATGTCTTCATGTTTGTATATAGCAAAATCCACTGAGATTGGGCCATCTTGACGTTAACTTTAGTCCCAAGTTCTACAAAGAGACAGAAGCATAAGTAATTTCCACATAAAAGGTGGTATCATCTTTCACCATGAAGGAATCAAGATGCATAGGGACACAATGACATACTTCCAGTGTCTTTTGCGCAAGTTGTCAGAGCAGGGCACTCTTGGTAGTACCAGTCTTTGGCACACTCAGAATCCAGATGAAGCCAACACTAAACAAATTGCAAGAGGAATCTGCTGTGTTCTTTTGAAACGGACAGCAGAGGCTGCTCTGGCTTGAGCTCTCTCAAACACTTCAGGCAGCAATGTGAGTGCTGCATCACCAAATCAACCTTGTTCCCTTCTTTCCTAAGAAACATTGGCTTTCCACTATACACATTTTTGTATGTTACTTGTCATCGTGATGGACAACCTTTGAAACGCTAACCAATGGGACATTTTTCTCTTGTCCTGGATCTTCAGCACTTACAACTTTAAAACACAATTTTTTCCCGTTGTCTACTGTTGGAATATATTTTACCATTTAAATTTCTATTTATATGTTTAGTTCTGTCTGTCGTTCTAATTCTCCAAAAGAGAATTCAAACGGGCTTCTTTAAGCCACCATTGATCCTGTCAAGGTCTCATGGCAAAAATCTTCTAAAGATATTTTTGAATATTAAAATAGAAAAACCATAAAGTTTATAAAGTGAAACAACTTTAAAATTGATCTTCACAGTCATATTGTAGATGAAAAATAAATACCAAATTCTGTGAAATTTTGTGGCAAGAAAGATTTTTGTGTAAAATAGTAAGAATAAGAAAATAGAGTAGGAATATTTCAAAAACTTCCTCAGCCAAGGTATTTCATTACTGTGAAGAAATCAGTTTTGCTTTGAAACATTTTTCCATAAGAACACATTGTTTTGTATGTTCCATAGAAGCCTGGGTCAGCCCTTGCTTTAATGAGGCGCACTGGCCGACAGTTGCCTCACTCGCTTCTTGAGTTTTTTAATATTGGCTCACCATGGAAATTCCTTCAGTCTTTGGAAGGTTTTCCCATCAGTACAAGACTCAGAGCGTGCTGCTACTCATTTAGCAAGTGTCATCAGTAGATGCTTTAGGACTCTTGGGTGCAAGTTGTCCAAATCTGCTGGCTTAGGAGTTTAGCACTCCTAAGTGTTGTTTAACATTCTTCCTTTGTTGGTGGGGAAAATATTACTTCATTCTCCTATGATATAAATACATCATTCTATGATTCTATGATTCTATGATCATTCTAATTCTTTTCAAGTAGAGAGCAATTGTTTCCTGTCTTTTAACGGTTTTACAGTCTAATCGTGGGCAAATGCTTGTGAAGATTTTCCCTGCTATCACTATACATAAATTTCATACTGTTCCTTCTTCCGCTGACCCAGATAATTTTTTTCTTTGATATTTTCAATAATTTTTGTTTTCTCTGTTCCTTCTCTTCTGTTTTTATATTACTGGTTAGTTTTCCTTTCTGATGCAGAATTTCTGAAAACCAAAGTTGTCCTTTTGCCTCTGTTGTGGCCCTTTGTCTTCAAACTTCATAAAATTTTATGATTATGCTCGCAGTTGACAAAATATAGATGTTTGGTTTAATTCCACTTGTCCTCATTTGGGGAAATGTTTTTTTCTGGGACTTTAGCTAGCCCTTAATGCATTTCGTCAGTTTGTGGTCACTGATGATTAGTTCATGACTATTATTTTCTTTTGTGAGAAAAATTTCATCCTCATTTATCAAAGAGATCCTAAAAATCACTTCCTGAATGCCTGTAATATCGTAAACTTATGAAATCTATAGCATCCAGAGAGCTGATCTCTGAAGTGGTAGAAGCTCTGTGCAATTTTTATGCCTGCTGTTGTTTTAATTATTTTTTTTCTCTGCAGATTAGGAGTTTATGAAGTAATTTATATTGTTTTATTCTCTTTCTCCAGACTCTTAGTAGGATATTAATGGGTGTTTATTCAACATCCTGAGCTTCTGATTTAGCCTGATACAGAGTTTTATGTCTGGACACACCTTTAAATTCCTGTGTCTTACCTGAATGGATCATAGTTCGACGCCAGTATTTTTTGAGAAATTCGGGTTCTTTGAGTCCTTTTACCCACATTTTGATCACTTACTCTGTTATAATTATCCTGTTGCAACAATTTTCAGCAGACTTTTGGCTCCTTTAAGTCATTCCTGGCCAAGATGACTAATTCCCCATTTATTTTGTATTTTTCCAGTGTAAGTGACCAACTCTTCAAAAAGAGAATTAGTGCTTCTCAGTCAGCTGCAGCTGTCAGCTTATTGTCGGCTGTGCTAGTCCTGCTCCTGAAGGAACTCCTTCCATCTCTTTCTTGTAGAGACACTAAAGAAGATACCTGTTTTCCCTCTTCACTTCAATATTTTTGAAATAAAAAGTTTCTGTATATTTTCATATTGTACTCTTACTGTCCATTACTGCCTGTGACAAACAGGGAACATTTCCCAGACTGCTTTGTTACACCTTTGGTCACCTCTGCTGGGCTGCCTTGGGATACACTCTGAGCAGGGTGAGGAATGCACTCAAACTGATCAGAATGTTAAGTTTATTTCTTCAATGTAAATCATCCATAAGTCCATTTATGAGTTAGCTTTTCATCTGTGCTCTTCAGCTTACCACCGTGCAAGTGTATATGTGTGTGTATAATATATATACACACACATGCATTTTTTTAATATAGAAATGTATGTATGTCAAAGGTACATATTTATATATACACACATTGTTGTGGGTTAGGCTGCTCTGGCAACCAAACCCTACACAGTCACTCACTCCCCTACCCCCAGGGATGAGGGAGAGAATCAAAGAAGAAAAAGAAAAGAGACCCGTGGGTTGAGATAAGAACAATTTACTACTACCGTTACCAATATATATATGTACGGATATGTACAAGGATAAATATATACAAACGAGTGATGTACAGTGTAATTGCTCACCACTCCTTGACCAAGGCCCATCTCATCCCGAAGCTGCAATCCCAAAACAGATAAATCCCAATACTGCAATCCCAGATGAATGGGAGGCCCCAAGTCAGAGAGCGAGAGAGAGAGAAAAGACCCTGAGAGCCCAAAAGTGAGAGCCCCAGAAGGGCAAAAAGCCCTTCTTTCCGGGTGACCCTCACTCTTATACTGGGCATGACGCTGCATGATATGGAATACTAATTGGCCAGTTTGGCCCTCAATCCTAAATTCAGGTACAAATCGTAAGGAGAGTCGTGGACCCCTTGTCCCGTCTGTGCTCGCCCCTTATCCTGTTGTGCTCCTGCACACTGGCAAGAACACGGCAGCTGAAAAGTCCTTGAGACCTCAGTGCCAACTACAAATATCAGTGTGCTATCAACATTCTTCTCAGAGCGAGCCTCTGAGTAAAACTGAAACACAGAGCTCTTCTAGCTGTTAAAAAGAAGAGCTAACTCTGTCCCAGCTAAAACCAGGACACACACACACATACATATCTATCTCCAGGACTTGATCACAAGAATTTTTTTGTGCTTCTGATTGTCCTCCTCACTGAAGTGACTCCAGCTTCTGCCATTGCCTCACCAGTCTCAGGTGGGAACCAAAGGGCTTAGTGCCAGTCCCTGGAAAGGGGCAGGCACTGAGCAGCACATTTGCAAGATGGCAGCTTGATTTGTGTTCTTACAGTCCTAATCCATGTTACCAGCTTTTTAAGACCTATGCTTGTGCTCTATGAGTTGAAGTCCCTAGGCCACTCATTTTATATTGCTCACTCATTAGGTGTCTTTAGCCTGTATGTCATTTGGAGAAAGGTCACGTTTATTACACTTTCGTATGGTGCCTACTGGAAAGATACCAATCCAGAATGGTCTTGGAGTCAGACTGCACGGGAAATGTGTGCCATCAGAATTCGTAAAGTAAAGATGGACATACATATGTGTGTAAGCTGAGCTCTGTCAAGTCGTATCATTTTTGTGGGTTGCTGTTTAACCTTGTTTTATTCGTGTTTTTAGGGATTTGTGCCTGGTCTGTTTGGAACTTCACATGGAGCACTTCAATTCATGGCATATGAGGATTTGAAACTAAGATACAACAAGTATAGAAACAGAGTATCAGATACAAAATTGGTAAGATTATTGAGAAAAAAATGTGCTGTGGTGTGTGAACAAGTGGAAATTTATTCCATTTGTCCAGGTCATAGAACAGCCCAATTTACAAAGTATTGATACGTTAATTGGCATGTACAATATGTAGAAAGAAATAATTATTTTTCACTTTTTAGAAACA